TGATGTGTGGAAAAGTGTGGAAGTATTTTTTGATGATTCTTTGATGAATAGAAATTTAGTTCGAACAGAATTTATTTCAGGACATCATTTATTTGAACTAAAAATCTTTTGTAAAATGATTAATGTATATTAGTTTTATAGTTTATATACTTTATCAGAAATATCTAATGGGTCTTGAAACAAAAACATGGGATGCTTCTCATAGGATAAAAATGCTCCGAAATTTTGTCAATTAAATGTCTTAATTGTGCCTATAGTGTAACTGCAGTTGATATTTTAACCAAAGATGGTTTCTTATCTAAGCAGAGATTGATGTCACTGTGATTACTACACTGTTCCCTCCATGTGTTCAAACACAGAGTATTTGCGGTGTGTGCTTGAACCCTGTTTTCTCTGGATGTGTGCCATGTTTGTGTTTTCATTGACTTCAAACGTCTAATTGAGTGCGATGAACTCGAGCGCAGTCGACCAATCAGGGCTTTGAGTTGGGTCGGTGTGTATCAGATGGGTCTCTGCTGGATACGGGAAGTAGAATCCTCACAGCTGGTTCACAGACACAGCCCTGTTTGTTAAACAATAATGTAATTAAGGCTTTGTGGGACTGCGATGTTGATTCTCCTCCATGGAGAAAAAAAAGAAACGTCCTGAGAGGGTGGGGAGGTGAGACTGATGTGAACAATGCGGGAGGTGTGTTGAATAATTCATCGCCGTTTTTCTCATTAATCATTTACACTCACAGCAGTGCGTGTGTGAGCGTGCGTTTGTTTTGAGCCGACGCGCCGGGGGCCTGTGTGACCTTTCCTTGCTGTCTCTAAGCAGGTGTCTTCGTGTAATCTCCGGGCTCCTCCACCAATGCACGGCGGTTTCATCCCTCCGCCCTCCCTTCCCTTCACCCCCTCCTGCTCCCCCTGTGGGCGAGTAATGATTTTCTTAACCTTTTCTCTTGCTTATTAAGGGCCCTGTCAGAATGTTTAAATGCTTATGCTAATCAGGCACGGTCAGAGTCAGGCGGAGGAGGGACGTTGTCCCAAAACAATTATGGATGGAGAGAGTCTTAATCTGGCAGAAGGACAAGGAAGAGTGTGTGACGGAGGTGGCAGGTAGAGAAAGAGGACGGTGTGATGCTGGTGATTTTTAAAGGGATAGTCCACTCTGAAATGAAAAACTATCATTATATGGTCTTCTTTCACGTCGTTTCAAACCTGCATTGATGTTTTTTAGTAGATTTTTGCAAAAAGAAATCTCTTTACACAACTCTATGTTCACCAACATTATTTTTTGTACTTTTTTTGGTTGCTTTAGGAGTTCTACAGCCATGATCACTATGAACTGTTGTTGCACATTATGACTAAGATTCTTCAGAATGTCTTTGTGTTTCAGTGGGGGAAAAAAAGTTTTGAGAGACATGAGAGCAAGTAAATAATAACTGTATAATAATAACTAATAATAACTATTTTTTTGGTGAACTACTCCTTTAAGACCATAAAATTTGGTTTGGGAAATCAGAGTTGACATAGGAATTAGTGTTAGCATTTCAAGGTATTGGGTTTTCAAACCAGACTCATCAGAAAACCACACCTGTGGCGACATTTTTGAAAAATAATATTACTGTATGTTTTTTTCAAAGTGAAATGTCCAGTGAGTGGTGCTAAAAGCATGTTCTGTTTCATTCGAAACAGAGGAACAGGAATCTAGTTGTTTGATTGTTGCATGTATCGCTGCAGTTCGGAAATGAAATGGACAGTGAGCGGGTATAAAATGTTAATGCTCAATTGCAATCGAAAATAACATACCACCTACATTAAACCTAAAGGAAGTTTAGAGTTTTGAGCTCTTTTAATATGTTTTCTGTTTCACGGTATTGTACCTGATACTTCAAAATTGCAAGTGCAATGCTGCACCAGGTGAGCTGCTGAGCAAGTTTACTATGTCAGAAAAGCCATGCATATGGAGCGGTTTATGTGATACAGCTATCAAAATGTATTAGTTTAATTCAATTGAATTCAATTCTAAGTTTATTTGTATTGCGCTTTTCATGATGCAAATCGTTGCAAAGCAGCTTTACAGAAAATTAAAGTTTCTACATTATATATAGCTTATCAGTGTTGACTATCTCAATTTGATGCCCATATGGCTGAAATGTCCGGTAAAAAATCAAGCAGTTAGTTAATGTCATGTAATCAAACAGGCGGTGAGCACTATTAACAGTAATGATTATATGTTGCAATCAAACGTATAGCAAAATTTGGTAGTTTTGTATGTTGTTGGAGGGTTTGCATCATCTGAGGTCTTCTGAGGGGTTGGCATCATCTCTTCTCAGGTGTTTGGACATCTCAGGTCTTTTTAAGGGCTGGATCCAGACTGAAGCTTGTGTAATTCCTAGTTACCATGGGATGCCCAAGAGAAAAATTAGCGTAGCTGCTGTTCCAACTAAGCAAAAAATTATGTGTTCAACCCAAGCAAAAGAATGTTGATGTGCATTTGATCAGATTTCAGTTTGAGATACATTATGTGAATGTTTGGCTATAGAGATCTTGAATCTAGATTTAAACAGAGAGAGTGTGTCTGAACCCTGAACATTATCAGGAAGGCTATTCCAGAGTTTGGGAGCCAAATGTGAAAAAGCTCTACCTCCTTTAGTGGACTTTGCTATCCTAGGAACTACCAAGAGTCCAGAGTTTTGTGACCTTAGGGAGCGGGATGGATTGTAGCGTGATAGAAGACTAGTTAGTTACGCAGGAGCTAAACCATTTAGGGCCTTAAAAGTAAGTAGTAATATTTTGTATCTGATATGAAACTTAATAGGTAGCCAGTGCAGATAATGTAAAATTGGGGTAATATGATCATATTTTCTTGACCTGGTAAGGACTCTAGCAGCTGCATTTTGGACCACCTAGCAGTGCATTACAATAGTCCAGTCTAGAGATCATGAATGCATGAACTAGCTTTTCTGCATCAGAAACAGGTAGCATGTTCCGTAACTTGGCAGTATTTCTAAGATGGAAGAATGTGGTTTTTGTATCATGGGAAATATGATTTTGAAATCATATTTTTCAAAAGACAAGCTGCAGTCTAATATAACACTCACATTTTTGACTGTAGAGGAAGTAACAGTACATCCGTCTAGATGCATATTGTAATCCAAGAGATTCTGTGTACTGTTTTTGGTCCAATAAGTAATATCTCTTGTCTGAATTTAATAGGATAAAATTATTGGTCATCCAATCTTTTACATTTTTAACACATTCTGTTAGCTTAGATAATTTAGAAGTTTCATCTGGTCTTGTTGAAATATATAGTTGAGTATCATCAGCATAACAATGGAAACTAATTCCGTATTTTGTAATAATATTACAGAGGGGCAACATGTATATTGAAAATAGCAGAGGGCCTAGGACAGATCCTTGTGGCACTCCATACTTTACTGGATTTAATTGAGATGATTCCCCATTTAGATAGACAAAGTGATAGCAATTGGAAAGGTAGGATCTAAACCCTCTTAAAGCCTGCCTGCCTGCCCTTGAATACATGTATAGTTTTGTAATCAATCTATGATAATGTCATGATCTATAGCAGTGGTCACCAACCCGTCGATCGCGATCGACTGGTAGATCTTTATGACTATCCCAGTTAAACATGCTGTTGGTTTAGATGCAGTGATACGTTTATTTAGATCTTCCTGTCCTATTGTTGTAAAGCACTGCAGTTTTTCTTTGGGTGCAATGAATGAAGCTGAATTACAAGACGCTGTTGATTCTACATTTGTTATTGTATTTCCGATGCTATCTATTTTATCAGTAAAGAAATTCATAAAGTCATTACTATTAAACTGTGAGGGAATATTTAGATCGGGTGGCGTCTGGTTATTTGTTAATCTAGCCACTGTGCTAAATAAAAACCTTGGATTGTTTTGGTTATTTTCTATGAGTTTGTGGATATGCTCGGCCCTGGCAGCTTTTAGAGCCTGTCTATAGCTGTACATACTGTTTTTCCATGCAATTCTAAAAACTTCCAAGTTAGTTTTTCTCCATTTGCGTTCAAGATTGCGCGTTTCTTTCTTGAGAGAATGGGTATTGCTGTTGCACCATGGCGCAGTACGTTTTTCTCTAACCTTTTTTAATTTGATGGGGGCAAGAGCTTCTAATGTACTAGAAAAGATAGTGCCCATATTGCTAGTCATTTCGTCTAGTTCATGTGTATTTATTGGTACATAGAGCAGTTGAGATAATTCAGGCAGTTTATTTGTGGATCTATCTTTGGTGGTTGGAACAATAGTTCTACCCGGATGATAACGCGGAGCCATATAGTTAATATCAGTAATTGGCAGAATTCCCGATACAAGGTAGTGGTCAGTAACATCGTCACTTTGAGGTACTATATCTATATCATTAACATCAATTCCATGCGATATAATTAAATTTAGTGTATGATTAAAACGATGAGTGGGTCTGGTTATGTTTTGCTTGACTCCAAAATAGCTTATTAAGTCTGTAAACGCAAGTCTTAATGCATCATTTATATTATCAACATGAATGTTAAAGTTTCCGACAATTAGCGCTTTATCAACATTAACCAATAGGTCTGAGAGGAAATCTGCAAATTCTTTTAGGAATTCTATTAGTTTAACAAATTGTGCACTATGTAAAAAGTGTTTTGAGGTCATAACATAATATTGTGCAAGGAACCATGCAAAAATATGTCATAAAAAATAATGAATAGAAGTTGTTAGTGTTTAACTTCCACTAATTTTCATTTCAGCTGGAAACAACAGTGAATTGTATCTATAGGTACGTTTTTCATGTGGCGTTAAAGGCATGTTTTACCAGTGTTGTGGGGTTTTGATCTATTCCGCTTTAAACTTTTGAGTTAAACTGTCCTTTTTTTTGACCCTTCTCTCATCACATTCCTGCTCTTTACTTGTCGTCCAATTACCATAGTTCTCTTCATCTTCCTGTGACTGACGTCCATCATCTCTGTGGTGTTCTGTGTGTTGTCTGTAGGGGCCATGCTGCTGGGATGATGTCCTTCTCCCTAACAGGATTCATGGAGTATGCCAGTCACAAGACTGTGATGGCACAGTTGCGGTGAGTCTGCAACAATTTTATCGTATTATGTTAATTTTTATTGTGCCATTTTCCTGAATGAAAAAGCACCTTAAACCAACAAAAGATGGTTAGTTGAGACTAGACAAGCTTGTTAGGCTGGACTGTTTTGGTGGTTTTAAAGGACATTTGGGCACTTATAAGTTGGTCAGGCTGGGAGACGAGCTGACTGAACAGCTAACCCAGCTGAACATCAGGTTGGCTGGCTGGGAGAAGCAGTTTTTTAACAATAGAGATAGCAGAAGAGGACAGGAAAACACTGGGTTCAAACCTAAATTTCGAGGTCACACTTTTTATCATTACATAGTCACTAACATTTTACCAAAGCTGTCTACATACTACATTCAAACAGAATTTATTCATTTTTACAAAGCCACATTTTCAGTCTAGACACCATTTTTATTGTGCCTTTTTGTCCATCTAGCGCTGTATTGCTGGGCAGACAAAAAGGACCGTCCACTGGTTGGACTAAATTGGTAGCTTTATCCCAGCTGGGTCCAGTATTACCACCCTCATGCTGCAAATCCATAAAAACCACTGCAGTTGGGTTGTTTGAGACTGTTCGTGGGAGTTTGCAGGGCATGATTACATCTCATTTGTGCTTCTTGCAGGAGTTCTACCTGAAATGTGCTGCCCACCCTACCTGTGATAATGACACTTCAGCAGCACTGGACTTGATAATGCCCAACACACGCAGAGTGCCCTGCATCGCCTGCACTGACATCATGTGAGTAGCTCTTGGTTTTTCCCATGTGTCTGTAGCTAAACCCATTATAGAGGTTGAAATGTGTCTACACAACAATGAACCAATCAGACAGTTCATTACAACATTAATCTCACCACGTCCTAAACAAGCCTGATGCAATAAATCAACAAACGATAAAAGCTTTTGTCCTAACCAGCCACGATTACAAACAATGCTATTGGTTGCTTGGTTTCTATTAGGGCTGTGAATTGATTAAAACCTATAAATAAAAACCCGCAGCTACAAATATATATATATATATATAGCTACACATTAAATCCCCAAATTAATGTGTACTGGAAAAAATGTTAACACTGGAGGAAAAAAAAAATCAAAGATTATTAGAATATGTTTTACAAGAAAATAGTATTTCAGTCTTTCTACGTTTGTGAAATGTACTATCAGTTATAAAATGTACTATCAATTTGAAAATTGAAAATAGTTTTTTTCAGTGTAAGGATTTTCTTTGAAACAATTTTCACAAATTTCACAAACAATTACAAATAAATGACAAGTAACGTATATTTTTTATATTTTAAAAAATATATTACATTTAAAAAATATTTAAATAATCATTTGTTTATTGGGATAAAAAAAAAAAAATGCTTAATTGCAGAGGTGGGACCAAGTCATTGTTTTGCAAGTCACAAGTAAGTCTTGAGTCTTTGCATTCCAGTCTCGAGTCGAGTCCCGAGTCAAGACAGACAAGTCCCAAGTCAAGTCCCATGCCAAGACGGGCAAGTCCAAGTCAAGTTGCAAGTCCTCAACTTTAAGCTTCAAGTCCCAAACAAGTCATTAGTGCTATTTGCCCAAACGAGTGTCTATGTATTAATTACTACAGTAAATTTAAAGTCATTAATACTGTGGTCTATATAGTAAGTATAATTATAAAGATATAATTATTAGTGGTGTTTCATTGAGTAATGAATCATTGTTTGTAAACAAATATAGGCTTAAGTGAATGAATAATTTCTTTTAAGTCCACTTTCATTTGTTAATGATTCAGTGATTTTAATGAATCGATTGAGTCAAATATTTAATAACTTGCTAATATGTAATACAGATGCTGATTTATCGCCACCTACTGACGTAGGTCTATAAAACCTTTATGGCAGGCTACTTCAAGTCTTAAACTGATACATTGATACAGAACGTTAATTACTGGGCAAAGAGATACATGAAATGAAGCAGAAAAATAAATAACAATAGTTATAATATATAAAAATGTTAAATAAAAATAAGAAACCATCATTGAATGGGTTTAAAAGATGGATTGGATGATGTGTTTTCTTCAACAAATATTGATAATAATTATTCAAATTTCATGCTGTCACGGAGACGAGTGCAATAATGGTTATAATGATGGCGCTGCACTGTCTTTGTTATTCTTCATTCAAAATAAAATGTTATTATTTTAGTAATTCTAGGGGTTGAGTTAATATGTCGAGTTTACGAGTTATATGTCGACCTAAGTAGCCTAAACCAAACATGTCTGGCACCACACCGTTCACTATATCAGGTTTAAGAAATGAGGCATGCAGAATTATTCACGGCAAAACTGTAGTTATTCAGATACACAAATATAGCCTATGTAATAAATGTATTTTGTGTTTTAAACAAGTTCATAATGATCACAGTTGATGGCTTAGTTTAGAGGCTATTGTGCGCTATGTAGCCTAAAGCCTGTCAGATTTACAACACATGAATTCATCCATTTCTTCTGAAAGACAAGAACGTGAGTGGCTGGTAAATAGGAAGAATAGAGTGAACTTTATATGTAGGCTACATACAAGCGTTTCACATGAAACAAAAAATGTAGTTATGTTTGAAAGGTTTAGCCTATTATTAGGCTACTGCTGTTTCAATATGCATCAGTTTCTTCTTCTTCTTCTTCTTCTTCTTCATCTTATAAGTAGTATACATTTACATTTACATTAAGTCATTTAGCAGACGCTTTTATCCAAAGCGACTTACAAATGAGGACAATAAAAGCAGTCAAAACTAACAAAAGAGCAACAATATATACAGTAAGTGCAAATGACAAGTCTTGGTTAGCCTAACGCAGTACACGTAGCAAGGTGTGTATATATATATATATATATTATACACACACACACATATAAACACACACATACACACACACAAAGAAAAACAAGTAGATAGAATAGAAAAAATAGAAAGCTAGTGTTTTTTTTTGTTTTGTTTTGTTTTTTTAAAAAAAAGAAGATAAATATAGATAAAGTATAATTCAAATAGAATAGAAAGTGCTAGAGTTAGAGGGTCAAATAAAGGAGTATATAGTGTAGTATATAGTGATTATGTGTATTTTAAATATGTGTATTTATCATGCGACTCGAGTCCACAACTCTGCTTAATTGCAAACTGAATGTGATGTTTTTAGACACTTCAAAGTTAATTCCAATTAAATGAAATGTATTATATTTTAAATTTATATAAAATGCTATTAGCTGAATTTTAGAGTGCCTTTTTGATTGACTTAAGTACATTTTTATACGGTATGTCATTTCATAAGTACTTCTATTATTTTTGAACTATAGTTTAAGTGTATGATAAACTAAAGTATACTTTAATTTCATTTATACTGAAACTTGCATATGATGTATTTAAATATATTTGTAATTACACATTTACTATGATGCAATGGGATTGCAATTCAGTTGCAATTCAGTACATATATTAACTTTAAAAGCAATCATTTTTATGCGCATTTTGGAATATTACATAAAAAAAAGTTGGATGGAAACACCAAGGTGTGCATAAATTCTAAAAACGTGCATAAAAAAACTTGAAGATAAACTTTGAGTAGGATAAACGTTTTATCCGATAAGAAAAAATGCACATAAACTATGATGGAAACACATTTACGGAATAAATTCCACCATGCGCATCAAAAAGTCATGTAACCTTGCACGATGGGACGGGATAACTTGACTAACCAGCAGACTGATCTCGTTGCACAGCATCTGAAATGTTTTTTTGATTGTTCTAAAATGCCTGAGCAAATCTGTCACCAAAGTATTTCTGTATAATTGTCTTACATGACAAACACCAGACATCACCTCCGAAAGCAATGACAGCATTTATTGTGTTTCGTCTGCTCGCTCTGAGGCACAAGTAATTAATCTTTTATGAAAATTATTATATTCAGTGGCTTCTCCTACTTTTCTTAGTGATATTTAGTGCCAGTTTATCCAGGAAGTGATGATTTTGTTCTTTTTGACTAGTTGGATGGAAACGGTGCTTTATTCGCAAATGTTTTATACGATATTTCAGTTTTGCGCATAAGTTAAATTCGCATCTTTGGATGGAAACATGGCAGACAACGACTAGATGGGAAAAGTAACTTTCGAAACAAGTTCAAAACAAGTTTGACAGAGCAGTTTGGAGACTTTCTGATTGATCCATCAGTAAGAAAAGATGAAATACCTGCAACACATTGTACAAGTAAACTAAAGATTGATAGAAATATTCTGAAAGACAGGCTGCTCGTACTCCTGAACCTACATGCGCCTCCTGCTGTGCGGCCCTTCAATCAACAGTGGCCATGTTTCCGGAAAGAGCGGACGTTAAAGTCCCCATGAAATCAAAATTAAAGTTTTTTGGGTGTTAGTATCAATATGTTAGTCTTAAGGTTATCTATGAGGCAGTGTGCTCCAAAACAGTGACTGTTTTGAGTTTGAGCTCCGTCAAGTTTATTCTTTATCGTCTAATTTTCTATTTTAAAA